AGCATCATCTTCTTGAATTTTCGGACAAAGAGTCCGAGGTCGGTGTCGTCGCTGTCATCATCTTCATCATCAACGTTGTTGTGGGTTGATGTTGTTGCGGGTAGAGCAATAGACCTCTTGTTCCTCTCTTCAACCACCTTTGAGAGTTGGGTGGTTTCGTAGGTAATAAGATTACCTCGAAGAGCATCATAGGTCGTTGTTTGGAAGTCACAACCTTCTTCGATTGCGTCCACCTTTGAACGCCATTTAGGGGATAGGCTTCGCAGCACCTTTCTCACGAGCTCTCGGTCCGTGTATGTCTTCCCGAGAAGATTGAGGGGATTGATGATGTTAGAGAATCTCTCAAACATTTCCTCAATCTTCCCATTTTCCTTCATTGAAAAGAGTTCATACTCGTGAGTGAGATGGTCAATTTTGGCCTCCCGAACCTGCGCGGTTCCTTCGTAGGTGACCTCCAATTTTTCCCACATTTGTTTTGCGGTTTCACACCGCGAGATTTTGCGGTAGTCATCCGCGTTAACACCGCAATAAATCATGTTTATTGCCTTTGCGTTGAGCTCCATCTTTTTGCAATCTTCGTCGGTGAACTCCTCTTCGGTTTTGGGAACATTGACTTCACCGACTTTCTTCATCGGGACTCCGCAGCCGTTCTTCACAATCAACCACAGCTTGTAGTCGTTGGATTGGATAAAGATTCTCATCCTCTCCTTCCAATACGAGTAGTTGGTTCCATCGAACAACGGTGGCCTCGTGGTTGATTGTCCCTCGTTAACTCCCGCGTTGAACATTCTTGATGCCATTTGATCTTTTAGTTCCTGAAAAAATAACGTATTCGAAGAACTTCCTGCTCCGATACCAATTGTTAGACAAATGTACAACTCTAGAGGGGAGGGGTGAATAGAGTTGTTTTCAAGAATGTGCGTTTTTCGCGTGTGTGAAATAATAAAATCGCAGGAATAAATAAAGAGAGTAAGGGAAAGAAGAACACCAAGATTTATACTGGTTCACCACCTCGTGGCTAGTCCAGTCCTCCGAGAGACTCTCTCGAAAGTCCTACTAATCTTCAAGCTTTAACGAGTGCTTGAAAAACCGGTACAACTTGAGACCTTGAATCACACAAGCCTCACTTTCTTACAACAACAAGACTTGAGTCACACAAGTCTTAAGAACAACACTCAAAAGAGATTGAGTTTACAACACAAGAATGAAAGCTCACACAATTGAGCAAAGTAGTGTTGAAGAAATGAAGCTCTATGGAGGACAACTTCTTTAGCACTCAAAGAAAGTATTTCTAACTCTCAAAAATAATATTTTGATGAGGAAGATGAAGCAAAATATGAATATGGCTCAAAGAATTTATTGGAGTGCAAGAGATGTGTTTAGAAATGAAGGAGAATGAGGGATTAAATAGGCTGAGGATAAAAGATCCGTTGGAGCCACTGAAAAGAACTAAGAATAGGCACCAGACAGAATTAGTCGATTAAATTAGGGACTTTAATCGATTAAAGTGTACAGAAGCGAAAAGGCTTGAATGCAAAGGTGGAATTAATCGATTAAAAAGGAGAGAAAAATCGATTAGCTTGCTCTGTTTAAACTAATCGATTAAATGGAGCAATTTAATCGATTAAGTCTATTTGCCTGAGAAACCCAGCGCTGAGAAATTGGATCTAATCGATTATTTTAGAAAATTTAATCGATTAAAGTGAAAATAATGCGCAAACATGAAGGGCCCAAGCCAAGTGCGATTGGAAGCCTTTGGCTTCTAACTCGTTGTTTGGGACAACGGGAATATCAACGCTCCTCAAGTCCCTTATTCAATGAATTTGAGTGGGGGAGAGTAAAAGAGTCCAAAAATTATTTTGTGTGTCAAACGATGTACACAAAAAATATTTAAAGTATATTTTTCTTACTAAAAAAAATTGTGTAATCAAAAAAAATGTTTTTAAGAAATTTTGACACACTTATTTTGAAACTGACTCAGTAAAATATTTTTGGACAGATAAAATAATTTTTCAACTGACTCAAGAAATAATAATTTTTATCCCTTAGAAATTAATTTGTTTGTCACTTTGGACCCTAATTAAAGCAAGCATCACTTGTTATTTATAGGGAATGACACTTAAAAAAAATGTTTGACTAATTGTGCTTTTGAGGATAAATAAATTGCCATTAGAAAGTGAGAATATTTAGGGTCTATTTGGTAAAGTAGATTGCCAATTAACATAAAGCAGAAAGATACACATACGTTTAGTTAAAACAAAGGATCTATAAAAAAATTGCGTCTATAAAATAGCATTTAATTTATTTATGTAATAGCAAATCTTATAGGCTTAATTAGAAATCGTCACCATTCTATTTCTTAAAATATATTGTATATCCTCTAAAGACATTAAGTGAGATCAACTTGATATTTGACGAAAGTGTTAGCAAAAGAAATAATAATAGTAAAAATAAGTTTAATGAAAAGAGAGAACTAAAACTAATTACCTTGTTACGTTGGAGCTTAAGCATGGACAGATTGGACACAATAACATGACAAAAAAAAGAGTGACGAGAAACTAATATTCTAAGCCTTGGATCAATGAAATAAAAGTATATATTTACATACACCTAAGGTTCATGGTGGACCTTTAAATATGCTAAATAAGCATTTTAAGTGTTGAAATAAGTATTATTTTTAATTGAAAAAAATTATGTGAGAATGTTTTTGTGGACCTAAGGTCCACCATATAATCACTCTTGGATCAAATGATATGTGGTGATCAAGGCTTAAGAGAAGATAATTTACGTTGAGATGTGCGAGTATTGGAAACGAGTAAGTAAATGCCAAAATTTACAAGCCTTCTTTAGTAAAGTTGACCGAACATTTTTAGTACTCTATTTCAAAGAGTAAAGGAATGCCGAAATTTTACAACAGACATTAATAAAAAGAAAAAAATATATGCGCATCTTAGACAAATTTTGAGGACGAAATTTTTTAAGGGAGAGAGAAATGTAACGCCCTGAAAACCCTTCTGGGAGATTTTAATCTTCTAGTACGAAGAAATGATAAATATTAAAAAAATTAAAATTTAATAAAAAAAATATATAAAAAATAACCAATTTGGAATTTAACTTTTAATGATTGATTAGTAGTGGGGATGAGTTAAAAAATAGAATAAAATTAAATGAAATAAAATGAGTTTTGGTTCTGTACTATCTGAATAATATAATTTGTTCAAGTGAACTTATTTTTCTTAACAAACAAATTATGTTAAAATGATGTATAAAAAATATGGAACTTAACGGTATACGTTTTATATTTTTCTAAAAATATTTATTAATTGGAACTGTGAAAAATCAAACATGTAATGCTAATCGAACGGAGGAGGAAACCTTTGATTTTCCTCCTCAACTACACGCACCCCACAAAAAAAACAAAGGGGCATCCATGCATTAATTTAATACTATTTATTTAATTAAAACCTACCTAAACCCTTCACTAGCCCTTTTACTTTATCTATAAATAAGAACGGGGGGCTAAGGGAGGTTGTTAGAGGTGCGTAAGTGAGGTTGGGGGTAAGGTTGCGTCAGAGCTTGGAGGTGGTGTGCCGGTTGATCTCAGCATTTAGATATATATATATATCATGTGTATATATTTTGTGCATTTTATATTATAATCTAAATTCTTGCATCATACGTATAACTTACATGATATTATATGATTAGCCCGGTTCTAGTGACACCGGAGAATGGTGCCACTCTGGTGTCACTGCCTTTTTGGTGCACCTCCGGTGTTCCATTCGTAAAATTGACGGTTCCTACCCCCCCTAACTTACCCCCTAAACCTCCCACCCTACCCGATCAGCCTGGTTCTAGTGACATCAGAGAACGGTGCCACTTCGGTGTCACTACCTTTTTGGGGCACCTCTGGTGTTCCATTCGTAAAATTGACAGTTCCCACCACT